TGGCCGGGGCGGGGGCGCAGGCAGACAGCGGGCGGGCCCAAGCCATGGCGCATGGTGGGGGAGGGCTGGCCTTGCTCGCTGCCCCCGCCCAGTGCCTGGCTGGCCCGACAGGCGCCCAGTGGACACTCGCTGCCACGCGGGTGGCCACCTGGGCTTGTCTGGACTGAGGGGAGCTGGCCGGTGCCCGCCCGCAGTGGGGCCGTTTGGGGGCGGCGCGGTGCTGGGGGCTCAGCGCGAGCAGCCCCCGCGGGTTTGTGCGCGCGGCCGGCCGGAGCCCCAGACTGGACCCTGCTCTGGAGGGGCCGGTCTGCCGGGCGGGCTTGCGCCGGAGGGCACAGGGTCAGCACCCTCCCCTCCGGCTGAGCCCCCCAGAGTGGGGTGGGGCCGGGGGCTCAAGGTGAGCGCGCGCCCCCCAAGCCGGAGCGGGCCCAGCGGGGCTCCCTCAGCCATGAACCGCCAAATTGTCCAGGTTCCGGCAGATTCTCCGAGACAATGGCGAGGCTCGGGCCGCCGCTGCGGCCGCCGTCCAGTGTCGGCCGCGGGAAGGTCGCGCCGCCCGCACTGAGCCGGCTGTTGATTGGGTTTTACGCTTGGTTTAAAGCCGAGTTACTGGGGCATGAAGTGAGGAGCCCGGCGCCCTTCAGGAGATCTGTGCATAAAATTAAGGCGCAGGGGAGCGGGGGCGGGGTGTCGGAGGCTTGGTGGGAGTGGGGGCGGCGGTCAGGGCCGGGGGCTGGGCCCCAAGGGGAGGGGGGCTGTGGCTGGGCCCCGGGCGGGGCTGGGGCCGGCGCTGCGGGGGTCGCAGCCAGCCCTGCCTCCGGCCCGGTGAGGACAGGGCCTGCCCGGGCCTGGGCGTCCAGCCGGAAACGGGGCTTGTGGCCAGGGCTGCAGCCGCCCTGTGAGCACAGACCACTGCTGGACCCACGGCTGGACCCCGAGCCCGGTACGTGACCCGCGCTCAGCCCTGCTGCCCAGCCAGAGTTTTGGGTGCAGTGGAGACACAGGTGGGGGTCCACACGGGACCGAGCCCCGCCGGGCAGCAGGGCAGCAGGACAGCCGTGTGCTCGAGAGGCCCCCGGGGTGGACGGCGGCTGTGTGGACTGCCTGGCCGGGGTCTGCTGCGGCCTCCGCCAGCCGGCACTGTGACCGCTAGGGCTGGACACCTGCTTCATGGGGGGATGGAGGCGAGCACTCTCGGCCGCCAGGCCCGTGGGCCGGATGCCTCACCCCCGGGTCGGCAAGGTCCGTCCTCGAGGCCGCCTCTGCGTGCAGGGCCAGTCTCTCGTGGACTCCTGCGGCCCTCCCTGGCCGCGCCACCCCGCACAGCGGTCTGAGCCGAGCAGCCGATAATGAATAACCCCAAAGAGCGGCCGCCTCCAGCCTGGGCCGTCTCGGGGACGGGGGGGGGGTTGGGGGGGGCGCGGGAGACAGCGGCCCAGCTCGCTCGCGGAGCAGCTGACCGAGCTGACCCCAGCTGGGGCCGCCGCCGGCCTCCGCCCAGGTCTGGGAAAAGCCGGTTAGTGAGTCCTCCTGGCGTGCTCTGCCTCGGTGACCACCGGGGGCCCCTTCGGCCGAGCTGCCTATCTCTGGGGCTTGTGCCCAGCAGTAGCCAACGCTCTGGGCGCTGTGCGTGCTGACCACACTCTCCGCGGCGTGCTGCCAGGGCCCTGGGCCTGCAGAAGGCCGCTGGGCACTCCAGGCCACGCCCGGGAGCCTTGTCCAGGTGCAGCCCCGGCCAGCCCCCCCAGGGCGGTCTGCAGGCCCCGGGAGGCCTCGCGAAGGTGGGAGGGGCTGTGCAGAGGGTGGAGGTCAGGCCAGGGGCAGGACCAGCAGGGCGCCTGGCCAGAGTGGGCATCCCAGGTGCCCTGGCCGCTAGGGACATCTCGGCGCTCTGGAAGCAGAGGGGCTGTGCCGCCGGCCGCGAAGATGAGGAGGGCCGAGGGGGCAGCCAGGCCGGCCGGCACCCTGGAGGCGGGAGGGACCGCTGGGCGCGGGCTGCCCCCAGCCGACCTTCGAGCTGCCCCCTCAATCTTTTTGGGGGATAAACCAGTGAGCGTAACTGACCGCGGGGCTGGACCAAGTCAGTGTGGACAGACGGAGCTTCCAGGCAGCCGTGCAAAGCGGGGTGCCGTGCAGCCCCACGCCGACCCCCGTGGAGCCTGAGCCTTGGCACTGGCTCCGTCCAAGTTGGCCGGCCACGGCCCTTCTCTGGCCGCTCGGCGGCAGATGGACCGACCCAGGAGCCCGGGCGCTGCCGGAGGGGCTGCCGGACGCAGCAAGGTGACCTGTGGGCGAGGCCTGGGGAGGCGGGAGGGCTGGCGTCCTGAGGCCGCAGCCGTGGGGCTGGCCAGGTGACCAGCCGTCCGCCTGCGGGGCCCGGGCTGCCCAGATCTGTTTCATCAGATGAGGCGCAGGGACAAGGGTGGGCCGAGCCGGAGGCAGCCAGGGGCCGCCCGCCCGCCCAGCGCTGGCCCAAGTAGGGGGCCCGGCGCCAGCTGGCACCATGGCCGCAGGTCCAGGGACGCAAGACCTTGTCCTCACCCCACTGACCGGGAGGGACCTTGCCCAGCCAGCGTCAGGGTGGCCGGCACAGGGGAGGTGGACAGCGGGGTGCATGGCAGAGGGTGTGTCGCCACGCAGGGCCCACACGCTGCTTGTGAGGGACATGGGGCAGCTCTCCTGGGGTTGGCTGGGGGGCTGCGGGCCCAGGGCTGGGCTGGCTGGGCCGCCCCTGGCCCAGGCTGCAGCCTCCGCCGGCGCCAGCTGGTCAGCTGTGCAGCGGCCGCCCCTGTGAAGGTGACACGGTCAGGACGGCCGCCCGAGGCACCAGCTGGGAAACCCGATTTGGGGAGGAATTGAGGGTCTTCGCGGCTGCCGGGGTCTGTGTGGGCGCGGGTGAGCGGGGCCAGCCAGACTTGGCGGGCGCCGGCCGGGGGCCCGCGGGGATGGGCGCGGCTCGGGGCGCAGCCACCGCCCCCCAGAAGCTGCTGCTGGCCCGGGGCGAGCAAACTGGGTTTTAAATAACACAATTAAAAATTCTACCTCTGACACGCTGACTATGATCCTCTCATCTCTAAGTGTAATTATATTAAACTCTAATTTTCCCTCAAATATGCATTCTAATTCAATTTTCCTTTTTTCTCTTCTTAACTAAATCTATTATCATTCCCTCAGTTAAATTATGCTTATTTAATCTTTGATGAGACCTTTCGCTGACAATCATCTGTTCTAAATTAATGCCCTGCGCCTTGGGGGTCCTGGGGGCACTGAAGGCTCTTGGAGGGGAGCTGGGCGTCTGGATTGTGGGGTCCCCAGGAGCCTCCCACCTGCACCCCGTGGGGGCGAAAACGTGTGAAGGCAGGAGGCGGGCGCCGGCCCAGCCCCAGAGCCCAGCCTGCCCGCTGGGCAGCCGCCGTGTCCCTGGCCCCTGGGGCCACCGTCCCGTCCCGGGGGTGCGGGCGAGAGCCCCTGGCAGCCCGCTGCGACCTGCGTCGTGCTCAGGATTTCACTCATCAGGAATAACCCCGCGGTCTCGGCCCTGGCGGCGGGGACCCACCAACTGCGGTGAGCAGGGCGGGCAGCGAGCGGGCGCAGCGGTGCGGGCCGCGTCGGGCTGGGGGTTCCTAGGGCCTCCGCTGCGTGGCCGCCGCACACCCAAGGGGCCTCGCTCTGTTGGGAGCCGAGTGACCGGGGTCACCGCCCAGGCGGGGCTCTCACGCCCTCCGTGGCCACTCTGGCTGGGACCCCGCTTCCAGGCTCCAGCTCAGAGCGGCTGCGACCCACGGGCGAGGCGGGGCGAGGCGGGGGCCACCCGTCCACACAGCATCCGCCTGCGTCCGCCGGGCGGCGCTGTGGTGCCAGGCGCCCGGAGTCCGGAGTCCGGGAGGCAGAGGCGGCGGGGTCCTCCGCCTGGCCCGGCCCTGCACCTGCAAGGGGCCGCCGGCCTCAGGCCAGCTCCTGGTCAGCAGTACCAGCCGTGGTCAGCATGTCCTCCTGCCTGCCCTCTACCGCGGGAGGACTGGGCGGCCGGGCCGCACAGCTCCTGGGCTGGCCCCTGGCTGTGCGCGCGCGCCGGGTGCGGGTAGGGTGTGTCTGTGGGGGCTCAGTGTGCCTCGTGTTGGCAGCCGCTGACCCACGGCGGCTGTGCCCCCCGAGTGCCCGCCCCGTGCCCCTGCCCAGCCGTGAGGCGCGGACCCCAGCGCACGCTGCGGGCCCCGTGGCGACCCCCAGGGGCCGGGAAGATCCGGGCTGTGACCCAGCCTGGGAGCCCCGGGGCGCGGCTGCCTCGGTTCCCAGGCTCGCGGGCCATCGGCCTGGCCACTGACCGAGTCTCGCAAGGTGACGCCTGCACCTCGCCTCTGCGGCCGCGCTGACCTGGGCGCAGGGTGGGCGGGGCCTCGCGGGGCGGGGCGTGAGGGGCCCCGCGCGCACCTGACGCTGCCCAAGTCACCCGCTGCGTCCCCCAAACTCAGACATCAAATGTTTTATTAATATTTTCTATCATCGCTACAAGTTAAACCAGCCATGAAAATTACCTCCACCAGAAAAAAATGTCGAGATGTGCTCATTTATCGGCGGCGCCGGGCCGGCCGGCTAATTTCATCAGGAGCCGCAGTGCGCGGCGCCGCCGCGCCACTAACCTCGGCGGCTAATCCATCCGGGGCCGAGGGGCGCCAGGCTACTGCTGACCCCTGCCCCCGGCCGCGCCCAGCGGCCCCTGCAGGAAGGAGCAGGCTGGACTGGGCCGCCCCTGGCCCACCCCTGGCGGGAGCCCCAGGCTGGGCGGCGCCCAGAGGAGGGGGCAGGGGCGGGGCCTCCTCTCCTCCGTCCACCCGCCCCCCTCCTCCTGGGGGCCCTCAGGGGTCAGCCCTGCGCGGAGCCGGGGAGCCCTCCCCCGCC